GGCTTTACTTCCCATCCGAAGGAAGGCGTGATCAGAGATGTTATGCCTCAGAACATCCCGGCGGCGCCGACTGGGATTGAACCCAGGCCTGCTGGGGTGAGAGGTAATCACGCTTACCACTACACCACCGGCCCATGCCTCTGCTTCACTTTCTGTACATATGATTTGGTTTTTCCATCTTTGCGAGCCATATTAGGAACTGAAAGATTTGGATGTTTCTCAATAATGGATATCACCTTCTGATCCATTTGTCGAGAGCATACATTTCGATTTGTTCCGCTTCCAACCTTCCGATCCACAGATAAGTGCTGGTCAAACGATTTGCACACATTAAACACGGTACTCTTTGGCAGATTTAGCTTTTTGGCGAGATCGCGTACCGACAACGTTGGATTTTGCTGCCGTTCGTACAAAATGCGTTTGCGTACTTCCACTTGATTCGACGAGGTTTTACCAAACTGAACAAGAATGTAAACATGTTGTACCCCGAAATATAGTGGAGAGCTTCAGCTGTCATATAAGTGAAACGTTTCAGTGGTCCATGAAATATTTCAAAAACTACACTGAAAGAAATGTGTCCAAAATTTAACGTGAACAGGCTTTATTTAAAAAAAAACGCTGGTTGGATATTGTATCGATATGGTTTTTGTGGAAAAAAAATATCCGTATTTATAAAAAAAATCTACTGATCCCACTGAAGAAACATAATCAAATTAGTCAATTTCACACTTTAAATTCTCAGTACAGTAAGAATCTGATTTTGGCAAGACGTTTCCAATATATTTAGACTGTGAACCATTTGCCGAGTTAAATTTAACTCGTGGTTAAAAGTGACATTTCGAATGATATTTCTTATGTTCGAAAATCCCGGTGTTACAGATCAATCGGTTTTCAAGTAGAACTCAGCCACGGTTTTCAAAATTTAACTTCATGTCTGTCAGAAATAACGACGCTCGGATAGCAGGGTTAATCAATAACTTTCCATCCGTCAAATTTTAACCAAAAGTTTAAAAAAAATGCACCAAACCGTTCAGAGCTTTAATTTTCTTGTGCTCTGCAACTCTATTTAATATTTTCCGAATAATTTTGAAGCTTTGGACGCTATCAAATAATAAGCTTAGCAATTATTGAAACCTGTGGTAAGCTAAGAAGTCAAAATTTATTTGTTTTTAAAAATCGAACCCATGCTGTAGTCGAATATAATTTGTAGGGATTTGTTTCATCTTGTGCTGTATACCCAAGTAAGAAATCTAGAGCTGCTTGGCCATATTGAAAAATTATAAAGGTTTTATTGCAGCTGCAACCATGACCTACAGCTTTATGACGGTCATATACAATGCAAGTCATGGAACATTTTATAGCTATCTACAAAACCCCTATAAAGCTTATAAAAAAACCACCTGATGCTTATGCTATTTTTACTTATTAAAGATTTTATGACTGTCTTGAAGTATAAAAAAAAGCAAAATGAATCGCCCTTATAAAACCCAAAAATAAATCCTTATATTGCTATATAAGTAAGCGCAATAAAACTAGTTGGCCATGACACAGTTATTTTAAAACAGTTATAAGCATTCAGTTGCAACTTGTCAGAAGTGTAAATAGGCGGTTTATTTTTACAACATAGAAAAGAATCAAAACTTTCCGGTATTTCCAAGCGGAGCGCAAAGAAAATCAACAAAATTGTTAGCATGAGCATGAAAACATTTCGCCGTATACGCGACGTAGTGTGCGTTAGAAAAACGTCAGCAATCTCTATAATTCTTCCGTTCTCGCTCGCATATACATGGGGTGACACTGTCGAATCTTGGTCGAAATATATGGAATGGTGACAGTTCTAGGAGAAAAAAGTTGAAATCACGCATAATTTTTCATAAAGGTTAATGTACCATTCAAAACTTTTCCAAATGTTTGTAAAATTCATCGGTTGCACCCGTAGAATAGGAATATTCATTTGCCCTCAAATAAAAAAATGAATTGCTCTTGTAAACAGAAAATAGTGCTCGTAATAAAATCATGCATTGTGCTTTTCTGTTCTGCTTTCATCCAATGCATACTGGGCCAGGAATGCAACCTAGCGGAGCAAAATTAATAACTCCGAAACGAAGCATTTCCGCGACTTGGTGTCTTCGGCAAAATTTCTCATCATAATAAGGGCCATCTATTGACATAAAAAAAAGTTCAAAACTCTTCCGTAAAGATGGTGCCACAATCTAACTTCTTTCTCTGACGTTTTGGAGACTTGATGTCTTGCGCAAAGTTGTTTATCTTGACAAAATGAACAGCTCTTTCAAAGACGTAAAATTTCCACAGTCTACTTGTTCCAAGTTAAATGGAGTTAAAGAAAAATGTCGAAATATGGTTTTCTCGGTCCTATATGGTTGTAAGCAAAAAAAACTGAAATAGAAAGAAAAAACCATATTTTCGACATTTTTTTCTTTAACTCCATATAACTTGGAACCAGTAGATTGTGGAAATTTAACGTCTTTGAAAGAGCTGTTCATTTTGTTAAGATAAACAACTTTTCCTAAGACATCAAGTCTCCAAAACGTCAGAGAAAGAAGTTAGATTGCGGCGCCATCTTTGCGGAAGAGTTTTGAATTATTTGTATATGTCAATAGATGATCCTTATTATAATGAGAAATTTTTCCCAAGACACCAAGTCGCGGAAATGCTTCGTTTCGGAGTTATTAATTTTACTCCGCTAAGTTGCATTCCTGACCCAGTGTGCAATGTAAGCATTAGACATTCTAAGAAATTGCGCTTGGTGTTTTTCTTGCCTGCTGTCCTCTGTCGCCATATTGTCATTATGAAAATGCCATTAGCCTTGGAATAAACTTCAAGAAATTTAAATGAAATAATGGCTAAATTAGAGATCCGAAATGATTTCCAGTGTGCATTGGTATGAATTTATTTATTGAGATCAATTTTCTGTAAAATTAAGATGATTCCATCAAATTCATTTGATTTCTGAAACAATCTTTTTTGTTAACTTGAATTATTTTGGTGGCGCATTTATTTAACGCTCATATTATCCCAATATACACGATAAAATTTCAAGCGCATATGTTTTGGAACTTCTAAAAAGTCATATATTTTCTTTAAGATTTTCACTAATGTCACCATGAAACAAAATTGATTGCATTGTGATCATGACATCAACACTCAAACCTATTTTTACCGCTAAAGATTTCCACATGGAAAAAAAAAGTTTCGGCAGAACAGAACAACAACAAGCGAATTTATGGCGGTTGCTTCGAAGCACATAAAAATTAAATTGGATTTATAACTGATTTTCACCAAAGTGTAATAAAACTGCTTGAATACAATATTACTCTTAAAGAGGCTATGAGAACCTTTTGTAGAGTATGGGGCTTTCTGACAAAAGGTTTTAATACAGTTTTATTGTGATTCTCAAACATGCTCTATAAACCTTATCAAGAGTGGTCCACTAGGCTGGAAGACGATCTTATAGCGGTTATCAAGAGGTTGTGCTGGAGCTATTAATTTTATTGACGGTTTTATAAAATTGATCTCAATAACCACTAATAGAGTGCAATAAAACAAGAAATGCTACTTGGGTAGTGTAAGTTGGAGGTTTTTGTCGGTTTTGGTAATTTTAAATATCTCTCGAAACTTTTAATCTTGTTGAAACAACTATTTTTTACGTAGGATTACGCCTGTGCAATTGAAAAAAAAACTTAAATCGACCGCGTTACGAAAAGTGGTTAGGTTTTGTCCACTTATAACTCTGTCAATAGCGGATGGATTTTAATTCTAAACAAGCGATGGATTGCAAATTTTTGTACGAATCTGCTAAAATAAACACTTTATCAATTTTCAATAGGTCACTATTGAAAATCACACATATGTCCAATTGTTGCAATGGTGATCAAAATTATCACCGATTGCCTGCAAAAAGTGGTTTCCCTAACACAGTCGCCGAATATTCATTTCGACCACGTAATCCTACGTCAAATCTACGGTCGTGTCTTGGATACAACCTCTTTTTTCAACAGAAAACCTTCTCCCATTTGGCACGTAAAATTTAACTCGAAGCTTAAAGTGACATTTTGAAAGATTTTTTCATGTTAGAAAATGCCTGTGTTATCTATCGACCAGTTTTCGTGCATGGTTGTTAAAATCTACCTTTTTGTCTATCAGTTATAATCACGCTCGGATATCAGGATTAATCGATAACATTCCTTCGATAATTTTTAATCAAAAGTTTAATTTAATCCAGCAATTGGGAACAGCCTCAGGGATAAAAAAAAAGTTTCCAGCTTGTAATCTAAAATGTTGGCCTGTTTTCCACGATATTTGTTAAAATAACTACTATTTGCAATGAAGAAATCTTACCAAATAATGTCAATCATGGAAAAACCTCATAAATTCATAGCGATGAACCGTATCAGGTTTAGATTGATTCGGCCCTTTTCACACAATCGGCCATCATTTGCAATATTTAAAGAGTTTTATGTTTATAGATTGTAATCAACTAGAAGAACTTAGCGCAAAAACAATTGTACCGACCAATCGCGGTCCTACGCCAACCTTCCCTTCGTGTCCCTAGGACAGACTCTCCTGCTTTTTTTTAATTTAACACCATCACTGCATGCAAAAGCGTTCTTTCTATAGCTAGATGCGCTAGTCTTCGGCAATGATATGCTCCACTTCCTGGCACTAAAAAATCATTTCTGTGTTTCAATTCAAGTTCATTTACTTGAGGTATATATATATTACTGATGTCAATAGATCATTTAAATTCGGGTTGAATCCAACATACTTCTTATTTAGAAATTCTAGTTCTATGTAACTAAACGGTTTAGTAACAATAATTCGGGTCGGGTCGGGTTTATGAACGGTCAATTGAAACACCGTTTTCATACATTTTGCACAATGTTGTCTCTATTTTACACTACTAGTTAACGAAACAAGGAAGCACACTACACACACGATCAATTTAGTTCAATTAAATCCCACCATTAAAAAACACTCACCGACTATATCAATCGCCTCATCGAATGTGTGGCTTTTTGCCTCTGCTTGTATTATCCGTTCCACCTTTCCGTTTTTTTGTGGTTCAATGACAAAAATCCTACCACCAGCAACGTTATCCGCACTTTGACGCATTTTTTGCAAGCTTTTGTGTAAGGGTTTTAGTCAAATTGAAAAACTGTTGAGTACTTCTATTGCACCTACTCTAATAAAAAAAAAAGTCTCCCTGGTACCAGCAACCACTGTCCAAGTAAAACTAAAAACTGCGCTTTTCAGCTGAATAATTTAAACTATCCTCCATCAACTTGACCTGCCGACCAACTGCCTCCATCCATGCTGATAAGATCCTAGAATACCCATCAACGGAACCTAGCGCTGTATGTTCAGATGACATCTTTTGTTTGCAGGGATTTTTCGACGTGTTGACGAAGGGTATGAAGCGATACTTACTTTAAGCTAGTTTCCAACACCTGATAAGGATTGTTGCCAAATATAAGTACCTACCAATGTTGAAAGATAATTGTTCTAAGTTCAATTCTCGTAAACAAAAGCAGGTTCTGGGTGGGTACACTTTCACTGCAATTGTTTTTTATCGGGATTTACCAGTTTTATATTTCACGTGTTTACTATACTTTAAGGATAGAAAGGTCCTCCCTCATACCGAAAATTTAAAAGATACAGCAAAGTTGTAGCTAACCTTAGCGAAAATACATGAGCATCATGTTTTTACTACAAATAATATTTATAACGTTTAATATCAAGATACTCTATATCACGTTGTAAATGAAGCCCGTACATCAATATATATGTATTGCGAAGGCAAGGTGACAACTGATTTTTCAGATGAAAGTTTCTGATTTTTTCCCGCTATTCCAGACTTGATCCGGAACCGATTCTGAAGGAATTTGTCCGGGAGATAAAAAAAAAGTTCATTCATACTCCCAAAGGATCTGCGAAGGACATCGTTCGCTTTTCAATCAAAAACGCATCTGAATTGCTGTGTCATATCACATATTTACTATACATCGTCTATTCCAGTGGTCAAGTACGATCACAGCAAGCGACGATTATTTGAGTGTCCAAATGTAGTGATCCTCCGGCTTGGGATAAAAGATAATCGGTTGTATTCGATTGTTGGATCCGAGTGAAGGTAGCCAAGTATCAGTTCCAGCAACTTGCAATTTCTTGACGCGAATACGACGAGCAATGGAATATCTTGGTTCCAATAAAGGTTCCTCTTCGTTTTCGAAACCGTATGTCAGCGACAAATCACAGTCAGTACAGCAGCATGACCTACAGCCAATATCCCTTGGGGATGGGATGCAGTTCTCGCAGGGCTTCTTCTGCATAGATGGTTTGATTATTTTTGAAACGGATAATCGCGATCTTGGCCATCTTCGAAAATGTTAACCGGATTAATAACCAAATAAACATAGAAAACTCCGAGAGAAAAAAAAACGAACGTCATATTCGTTCACACGAGCAGCCTACTCTGCTTTTTGAATCTTAAATTATGCGTAAAAAAACTGAGTTTCAATTTTTAGAAAATAAACCAAAGAAAACCTTAAAATAAAGAATACATGACAAAGATAATTATAATGCCTGTACCCTTTCTGTAAGACATAAATTCAAGAAAATAAGGATTGTGTTATGAGTTCCGATGCTTTCCTCCAGAAGCGAGTTTTTAACAACTATATAAGGGTATTAAATAGATATTGTTAAGCCAAGACTATAGCGTGGAATAATGCATCAATAATTCAATCCTGCTCGGGTTTTTATTCGTGCTCATGAAATAGTTGTTAATTGTTTGGGAAATTTAATTAAAAAAAAAACTACACTAATTATAAGAAGTAATACTACCTCGGCAACAATACCGTCAGTGAGGCTCCTGCGATCAAAATTCCAGAAAACATGTAGAATGTCGCTTCACAGTTGTCCTCCATGATGAATCCGATCAAGCTGCTGAACGTGAAACTACTCAATCTCGCCATCATCATGCTCAGCGATACGGCCATAGCTCTTATGTGCGTGGGAAATATAGAAACGGCAGTTCCATTTACCAGTACCATCGTGAATCCAGCCAAGGTGACCTCAGTACAGAACAGCACAATCATCATGTATCGATTGGTCGTAAATAGCAGCACGACTCCGGCGCTGGCTGCCAACACAAAGTTTGCCATCACCATTTTCTTTTGATCTATCCTGCCCAACAGGATGGCGATGGTGATGCTAAATATCGTTCCAAATGCAGCCAAAATCAGGATGGAAATGAATGTTTGATCATGAACTTGAGCGACGCAATTTGCACTAGTAACATTTTGGGCACGCTTAAACATTTGGGTGTTCTTCACCACTGTACAGATGGATTGATTTTCCATGGATTGCTTGGTTGCTTGGTTCATAAGTTCCGGGTACCAAAGGCCCAAGCCGCCATATCTGTTAAATGTTCAGTATTATAATATGTATTAAACCGCTCAAAAATATAAACATACTTACACTGCAAAGGCACTGATCTGCTGTAAACAGCAAACTGCGAAGTATAACACCAAAGGCCATTTCAGTAGCGGAACGGTTTGCTTTCGTAATGATGCCAACAATCCCAGCTTTTGTTGAGAAACTGCTAATTCTGGTTCCAACCTTAAGTCCGTGAAACCTAATAGGGAGCCCTTATTCTTGCGATAGCAATACCGCAGAACGTCTAAGGCCCGATCCACTTTTCCTATAGCTAGGTAAAATTTGGGGCTTTCTGGTACCAATGTAAATGCCATAGCAGCTACCAATCCAGGAATTGTGTACACAATGAACAGCAGGCGCCAAGGTTTGAAGAAGTAGCTTTTCCCTAGCTCTATGATCCAATCATAAGAAAGAATCCACCAGCCGATCACTTGAAATAAATTGCAACTTATTTTTAAAGCTCATATTGGGAATCGAAGTAGAAATCTACGTGCGATGTAAGCCATTGTTAGCATAGCTGCAATTGAGGCAAATGCAATCGTCTGTGCTCGTTTAGATGGCATACAAAATTCTCCCAAGTATGGAAATACCGTTGCTGATGGTGCTGATATACTGTAAATGGATCGTATGAGCTACTGTAGCGATCAAAAAAAACAATACAACTCACCACACACCTGCCATCAATCTGAGTATCAAAAGAGTGGAGAAATCATTCGCAAAACTAGAAACTACCGCGCAAACTGCAGTCGCATACAGCCCGTATCGCATCATCTTTCGTCGACCGCGGGTATCCGATAGATAACCCCACACATAGGAAGAAACCATTATTCCAAGAAATGTCGCTCCACTTAAGAGGCCTTGGTTGCCGGTACTCATCGGTAGGTCACACTTGGCCGCCGGCAGTATCACACTGATTCCCATAGTTTCGCATATGGTGGCCATAATGGTTACACCACAAATCACAATCAACTCCAACTGGGCTCGCCCGAAACCAATGAGCTCTAAAGCATCGTCGAATTTGATCGTTTCAGATTGCTCTGTCTTCCTGACACTTGGCGATTCTGGCTCAAAACCATCGTTCGCAGCCCTAACTAGTTGCGGTGGCATCTCGTAGCTGACTGTATTTACGATTTGAACTCTTTTAAATTCGGGTAACAATTGGATAATATGAAGGTGATAGCAACAAAGAAATGTGTACGCACTCGGAGTCTGGCATTTATAGCCAATAAACACAAACGAGACAATTAGAGTGCGGTCTTTCGAAAACAGCTGGAAGCATTCCTTTTAGGCAAGTTCAAAAAGTTAAGTCGAATCTAATGTCTGATATATCTGTCTGTGAACCTTGTTTCTTATATTTATAGATAGGAATTACTTCTTTTAACGGCAATCATTGGAGATACTAAAAAGAGAGATAATAGTAAAGCAATTGATTTTTTTTTATAAAGTGGTAGTATCCACTATTCATCCATTTTATCTAGTTGAATATTTTTGGTCGCTATTGAAAATTTAGTCGATTGCTGAATTTATGCATGGGCCCAAATTAGGGGCATTTAGGCCGACATTACATCCATTTCCCCTATTTATATTTGTGACACGCCAAACCAAACACGCACTTTGAAAAACATCAAGTTTTATCAACAAGCTTTTATAAATTAACATATCAGGATGAGTATGAATTTGGATGTGGTTGATTAGCCTATAAGCCGACGAATGACTATGAACAAGCTTAACCCAGGAAATTTGCAGTTGTTTTATCAATTTTTATCAGCTCATATCTTTATGAGTGCAGGTAATTGGTGTGCAAATTTTGTCCAAAATAAGTTCAAATAAACTGATTATAGCAGCACTCCCCCACGGCAGTGGTGTAGTGCTGCTTTAAGCAGAAGGTTTAGGAGACATATCTAATTGGCGTAGGTAATTTTTATCCTAAAATTACATTTTTTGTCTAGTTCGGATATTTTAAGGGCTCAATCACTATTAATTCATTTTTTGTAACATCAAAATATTGACTTAGCCGAGTCTAGTACTGATGAGACCGTTTACTTACGGTTAACTCTAGGTTAAAGGGATGACAGTTTTAAGGAACGGAATAGGGGAGGAGTTTGAGCTGGCGCCGGTGGTGTAGTGGTAAACGTGACTGCTTTCTAACCCCAATGGGTCTGGGTTCAATCCCAACCGTGGTCGGTGGGATTTTTCTGAGGCATGAAAATCTCTGGTCATGTCTTCCTTCGGAAGGGGTAGTACAGCCGTTGGTCCTTGCCCAATATGTGTTTGAATTAGTGCGATATCATACGCAGGTTTGGAAGCTGCCTTCCTGCACATTCGATTGCCGTCAATGGATGGCAATCGATGCCCGTTGGTGATGATGATGATGATGATGTTTTTGTTTTGGCACCGTTTATGGCAAAATAGTGAACTGTTCATAAACTTAACGGCAAATAACTCACCAACACTTAATCGTTTCGGTAGTATCGGTAACGTGGGGCCTCCCTTGGCTCAGTCGGTAAAGGTGCAGCTACAAAGCAAGACCATGCTGGAGGTGACTGGATTCGATTCCCGATCCGGTCTAGGAATTTTTCGGGTTGGAAAATTTCTCGATTCCCTGGCAATAGAGTATGATTGTACTTGCCACACAATTAAACTAATGCAAAAATGGTAGCAGGCATCGAAAGCTCTCAATTAATAATTGTGGAAGTGCATCTAGAACACTAAGTAGAGAGCACGCAATAAGCTAATATGCCATAAGCAATAAGCTTGAAATGCGAAGAAGAAGAAGAAGAAGAAGAAGAACAAGAAGAAGAAGGAGAAGGAGAAGAAGAAGGAGAAGAAGAAGAAGAAGAAGTATCGGTAACGAAGTATTTGAATAATCAGTTTTTGACAACACTGAGTGATACCCAATATACTACATTGAAGGGGATATTTTACAGTTGCGTTGCGTTGCGCAAAATTATGCAATCTGTGATTCATGCTTCCTACCCTGTATGAATGAAATCTCGCGTCACTTTTCAAATAGATCAATGTAACAAATGTAAACAAATCGAGTTACGCGATACAAACTATTGCTCTTCTATCATTGTATGTGATACAAAAACATCCAACCTAATTTACTTTCATTTATTTAAATAAGATAATTATTGATCAAAAATTGTCCAATCTACAGTTTGAAATGATGGGTACATGATTGTTACTTCGGTCATTCGGACTGCCTAACATGATTGGTGCTCATTTTCCAAAAGCGGGGCCAATCTAAAGTTAGGTACTATAATCTGAAATCTGTGAAAGGGAATCTAGTATCATGTAGACCAAACGTCCAATGTAACACTCATTGATTATGTCATTGAGAAAAATCGTCCAATGTAACATGTCCGATGTACAACTCGACATGTCAAAACGTCCTATGTGTTTTTTTCTATGTTGTATCATGAAATTCAAAGTAAAATTGTGATTTTACCGTTTCTTCTTAATTTTCAACGTTGTTGACTACACGTACTCTGACTACATTCAAAATACTATTGCAAAATGTATTGTTTTTAAACAGTTATAATAATATTCTGTCGAACTTCAACTTCGATTTTCTCAAAATGGTGGATATGTTACATTGGTCTATTTGAAAAGTGACGCGAAAAATCACGATTTTGCTTAACTGGTAGCTCGCCCACGCATGCTAACACTACCATCACTACCTGATAGTGGTGTTAGTATGCGTGGGTGACCTACCAGTTACGCTAAAGTGACGATCAAATGCATCGTTTACAAAAGCAGATAAGTCCCTTTAAAAAAGTAATCGAGAAATCCCTTTTTTGAAGTCTTTCACCAAATTCACTATCTTGACAGATTACACCGGAAACGCCTTGATCAACGTTACAGGGCTTGTGTATATGTTTTTCGTTGCACTGGAGCGCATATTTCGTGACAACGGAACGAGAATACAGCTGGTGAATAACATAAATATTCCAGCCCAGTTAGCTACCTTGGTGATGCTATTGCAAAACACTATTTTTGAAGACTGTCACGATGTTGTATGTATGTATGTATGTATGTATGTATGTAAAGGATACCACTCATTGTTGCAAGGCACAGCCATTAGACAGTGGCTCCAAGTATGACTTGATCAAGTACGATACCTGGTTGTATTCAATTAACCATTGTAAGAAGGTCCAAAAACGGAGGGGCGGACCCGTACGCAGATACACTTACGCGCAATCCGCGGGATCAGGAGAATCGCCTTCCAATGATAAAATCCTACAACCCGATGTAGAACAAGCCATCATACGTGGGAATATATATATATATTTATATCGGCATTACCCGATTTTTTACAATTTACCCGATTACACAATTTTGACTTCTTAGCTTTTCAAAATCTTTAATAAATGCAAATCTTATCATCTGACCTATTCCGCGAGTCGTGCGAATCTCCACCACCAATGAGTCAACAAAAGTCACGCACTAGTGGGGTGACTCTCCGTGCAATCAAATGGCGACCACGGTCACCCTACTAGCGACAGAGAGCCATACTACTCGCAGAACAGGCCTGCAGGTGACGTTTAAAGCTCCACAATTTTACTGAAAATCTAAGAAAATTATTAAACAGAATTTAATAATATAACTGCAGAGCACAAGCAGTTTAAATATACTGAGGACGTGTTGCCAAAATCGAACGGATACTTTATATGTTTATTAATTTATCTTACCTTGATGGACCAACTACTTACCTGTCCTTAATGGTCATAAGCTCCAATCGGTATTTCCCGGTACATCCGATCACGATCCTTTACAACATTTGGCCGACCTAGTTGGAGGTTACCACCGCGCATCATCGCAACCACTCAGCACTTTCTTCCTCTTCACTAAATTGAAGGGCTTCTAGGGAAACTATTTTCTTGCGGACCGCGTTGCGGTCGGACTTCAATGTTCTTCTCCTTCTTTTTCTCTTTTTTTGAACTACAAACCTACTGTGCTACACTAATACACTGTTTCGAGAAGTTGAATCCCGGAGACAGGTTGACTCTAGAAATACTCAGAGGGAGAGTTTAGAAGACTGTCACGATGTTCACATAAAACTAAATTATAGGTTCAAAATGTTTTAACTTTGTATTCATCATCCATACAAATCCAGAGATTAAAAATTTGCGGTCGATCAGCGGCTTTGTAAGTTTTTAAAAATATTTGCTTCTTGACATTGATGTTAATATAAAAAAATAATCTCAAAAGATTTTACTTGTTTTTTATTTGTATTACAAAAGTCAAATAGTATCCAATTGTACTTTTCATACGCAAAATTATAATTATTTAAATCTCAAAAATTACATTTCAACCGCCATCTCAATACTCCTCACGCTTTCCTCGTGAAGCGCTCGTGTTTATTTACATTGCTCGATTGGAACCGCGTTTGATTCGATTGGAACTTTTTGGCTTCAGTCTTCGCGCGTCTCTTATTAATGGGGTGTTTACATCTGTGCGGATTTACTCGCGCTAGTGTACTCGCCAACTAGCACGAATTTCAGTTGCTCCTGAAATGTCATGCTGGTAGACGCTGATGCCCTGTTTATATAGTGCTAGTGAGCTCTTTTGCTAGCAGCTAGCTCATTAGCGTTAGTGAAATAGCATAAGTGTAAACAACCCATAAACAGCGTCTCTGGATCGAACCACTTGGCTTATTGAAGTGAATGACTGGGAATGCTGATGAAAATGCCAGTGACACAGGAGGGGATGTGTCGTAAATTAATTTATACGAAAGTTAGAAGATACTGAGAGGTAAGAACATATCATCGGTAAGAGACGTGTGTGTGAGAAAATTTGCGGAAAAATCTAAGGGCACCGGTGGGTTCGCAAATTTTCTCACACACACGTCTCTCACCGATGACATGTGCTTCTCTCAGTATCTTCTAACTTTCGTATAAACAAATAAAATTGACTACAAGTCGTTAACCGTAGTCCAATTATAAATTAATTTTAACCAATTGTTGTACCTACTGTTGATTCTGATAAAGGATACAGGTGTGAATTGGGATGAATAGCGCACACTTCGGGAAGTAACTCTTCTTGTAGCTCGGCCTGCACTAGCTCACTTACAGGCGCTGGAGAACGAAAGGATATAGAGAGTGGGTCATTAGACT